AGAGGCCAGAGCTTCCCCAGGAGCAACAGTATCCAGGGCTGACCCAGGCCGCCGTAAGGACAGCAGAGGTCAGGAGGGGCCCCTCTGCGGGCCCGGGCACCCCTCTCAGGCCCGGAGGCCTGCAGCAGGCCTGCCCACAGGGCCTGGCCAGCCGGCCGAGGGAGCCACCAAGGAGGTCAGCTGTGTGGGGCGTGTGCGTGCACATGTGTATGTGCATGCATTCACATGTGTGCATGCATGTACATGTGTGTATATGTGTGTGTGCACACAGGAAGGGTGCGCTATCGAGGCTGGGGCCCCATGCACCCCAGGGGGTGGGGGATCCTGGAGAAAAATGTTCACGCCTTGAGATTCTGAGAGGCACAGCCCCTCCACCCCCACCCCGCTCTACTCCAAATGCCGTGTTCCCTGAGAGACACAGGATGCTCTGGTCTCAGGCCAGCCTGGCTAGTCCGGGCCCAGGTGAGCACCCTGCCCACCAGGTACACACCCAGGGCTGGCAGCTTCTTCTGGGGGCAATGGACATGTGCAGACAGGCCCTGGGCACACAGGCAATGGGCCTGGGGGAAGAATAGACTGGGCATGAGCAGGACAGGGGCCAGGAGCACGGAAACAAAGTCTCAGAGCCCCCGAACTGGGCCTCCCCTGTGCTGGTGGAGGGCAGGGTTGGTGAGCCCCGTGGGCTGCAAACAGCAGCCCACAACGGCGCACCCAGCTGGTGGGACGCCGGGCCGACGGAGACAGCCGGGCCTAAGTGCTGAGGCTGCAGCAGCCTGCAGCCACTTTGGAAAGAACAGGTGACCGAGAGGCCAACGCTCACTGAGTCCCGGCTCTGACCGAGGCCGACCTGCTACGTGTGGCGTTTCCACTCGCCGTGGGAACAGGCTGAGAAAGGCCCGGGGTCCAGACAGAGTGAGTGGGGGGACAGGGCCCGTCTGCAGCCACCGCCCCTCCTCCTTGCTCCCCACGCGTGTGACCAGGAACCTGGGCCGGCGGAGAGTCCCAGTGCGGTCACCCTCGGCCACAAGCCGCGGTGGGAATCAGCTGAATCAAGGCTCACTGCGTGGTGGGGACAAAGCTCGGGGGCCAGTCTGCCATTCCCTGGGTGCCAGCAGGGGAGGACCCCAGGGGAGAGCCAAAGGACTCGGGTGGGGCTGGCTTGGGGAGGTGGGGTGTCAGGTCCCATCTCCGTCAGCCCAGAGGGAGCAGCTCTCAGCTATGGGAGGCGTTGGGGGCAGGCGAGGCGGGAGGGGGTGCCTGTCCCTGGTGGGAGAGGAGCCACCTGCTGTCAGAGACATCCCCAGATGGTAGGCCTGCCTGGAAAGAGGCCTGGGGCTGGCCTCGAGGCCAAGGATCACAGGCACTCGGTCACGGGGGTGAAAGGCAGGGGCTTTAGGTCTGGGACTGGCCGGTGCCCTCTCAGCCACCCACAGCTGGCTGGGAGCTGCCAGGCAGGGGTCCCCTCACCGGGACAGAGCAGACAGTGGCCAGAGGCCCCGGCCGCCCTGGTCTGGGCGGGCAGGTCTGTCCTGCCACAGGCTTGGTCAGCGTCCCGCCCCAGGCAGGGCAAGCAGGCCCAGCCGGCCTGGCCGCCTCCCCTGTGTGGGTGTGGGCCGTGACACTGGTCAACAGGGACCAGACTTCATTCAACCAAGAATCCCACAGGCAGCCAGGCAGCCTCTGCCCAGCCCCCCAGCCACGGGGCTGACCCCTCACTTCCCAGACCGGCACCCTGTGTTCGTTGTGCAGGGCTCAGCACAGCCAGCTCCTCCCTGTCACCTGGGGATGGACATCTCGCCCTGCACAGCCTCCTGCTGGCTCACAGTCCACGCCCTGTCTGTGGTCCTGCTCCGGGGGTCTGGGCCCCGGGAGGACCACATGGTCCCCTTCCCCTGAGCTCAGGGCGCAGCAAGTGAGGTTGCCCAGGCCCCCAGCAGTGGCAGGGGCACCGCATGCCCTAGCCCAGGGAGGGGCCGGAGGGCACCAAATCATCTTTATAGATGAGAAAGCAGAGGCCCAGAGCAGCAAAGGGGCTGCCAAGGGGTCAAAGCCGTAGACGGCACAGGGGGCTGAGGGCTGGGCTGCCTCCAGGCCGACTAGGTCAGGAAGCCAGAGAAGAAAGGGGTGGGGATGGCAGAAGGGCCCCCATGTGCCGAGCCTCAGGTTTATTAAATGCATACAAGACCCAGGCAGGGAGGGCCGGAAGGAGCCAAAGCTGCCCTGTGAGGCAAAGCCATTGCCCGAAGTGTGCGGGAGCTTCTGGAGTGGGAAAGTGTCGGAGCCAGGGCTCTGGAGGCCTTCCTGGAGGCGGTGGCTGAATAAGCACTGGACAGCACCAGACAGCTGTGAAAACAGCCCAGAAACGACACTGGGCCTGGCCTCCACCACCAGAGCAGGGTAGCCTTGCGCAGAAGGGGCTTCCCGGGGACGAGGGACCCTTAGGGGCCATAAGCCTGCTCAGTGGTGTCAGACCCCTCGCCCCCACTTGCTGCCGGCGTGCCACCAGCCTCATCAGAAAGTGCTGCCTCTCCTCACCGTGTGATCACCTTCGACGCAAAGGGCAGAACTTCGGACGTCCTTCCCCGAAGCCGGGGCCCCTCAGGGCCCCCAGAGGCCTGGCCCCGGCGACTCCGGCGCACACTCGGTCGTCCCCGGCATCAGCCTGGGAAAGACCCAGGCCTTGGTTTCCCCACCTGTCGCGTGAGCAGGTCCCCCGGGTCCCTGCTAGCCCTGTCCGTGTCCCGATATTGGAGACTTCACCTTTTGAGGTCCCTGAGCCATTGTCCCCATGGGCAACGACAGGTGCTGTTATCATAACTGCCTGTAAGGACAGTGTCCCGGACGGAGCTGGCCCGCGCACACGGAGCCGACGCTTCTGCAGACCCCTGGGCACTGGCTGCACGCGGGGGCTCAGGGCAGGCACCTCTGGCACGCAGGACACACTCACTCGGCTGGAGAAGGGACGGGCCACACCGCTGCCCTGCCAGCCTAGTGGGAGTGCACCAGCTTCCAGAAGCTCCCGCGGAGGGAAGTCAAGCAGCAAACCTGACAGCTAGACGAGGGTTTCAGGTGGACCCTAAAGAGACGATGGGAGAGAGGAGGTGACCCCCGAGGTGGAGGAGCAGGTGCCAGCAGGCAGGAGAGGTGGCACAGACGGTGCCCCCACAGCGTGCTGGAGAGCGGGGGAGGGGGGCTCAGGCGGGGCCTCGGTCTTCATCTGAGTCTCGGCCTGTCCTGGACTGGGCCTCCCAGGGGCTGATGGCTTCACCCTGGACCCTCCTGTGCCCCTGGGGTCCCTGGACACGTGGAGGAGCCTCTCTGACCCGCCTCCCCGCCTCTGATTCCAGTAACGCAGGCCTTGACCCCTACGGCCCTGCAGGAAGGGTCATGTGTCACAAAGGACAGGAATGTGTGGCCCCAAAACTTTACAGAGCAGACGCCTCTTCCCAGTACCCACGGTGGCTATGTATGCAGAGCAGGGCCCCCTTCCCGCCACCTCCTAGACCCGGGCGGACACGCCTCCATCCACAGGGGCCCTGGCACAGGGCCGACCTTGGGCGGAGGAGTCAGGCCCCCGAGTCAGGCCCCCAAGTCGGGCCCCGGGCCCCACCTGTCCCTCCTGCCCCCCAAAACCAAAACTGCCCACCTATCACTCCCACCCCCCCATAAACCAAAACTGTTTGCGCTGCACCTCTCGGGAGCCAGACTTTTTAAACTGGGACGAAGTCTCATAACACCCTTAACCCACTCCCGATGCCTCACGCGCCCTGGATGGGTGTGGCTGCCGCCTACGTCCTCCGGAACTTTCACCCCCTATGACAACCGCGTCCATGGTGCGGTCACTCCCAACGCGCCCCGCGCCCCACTGGGGCCTGCACTGAGAAGCCTCCAGCCCAGCTTGTCCCCCCGCAGAGCCCCCACCTGTCCCAGGTGGCAGCTGGCACAGGCAGGTGAGGGCACCTGGCGGCCAGCAGCCTTCTGAGAGCCAGCTGCCGCTGAGCAGACGCCTGAGGGATAGAGTGTCCCCAGTGGGAGGGGACAGCCCTCTGCCCCTCCCCTCTCCTCAGCCCCTCCCTGCAGCCGGGAGCTCAGGTGGGCCACCAGAGGTGAGACCAGTGGCCCCAGGCCTGGAACGGCCTCCGAGCAGAGCCCCACCCCCTGTGGGGCAGCCACTGGAGACCACATGGCCACACGAATGACCAGCCAGGCTTCCCTAGAGGCCAGGCCTCCTGGGGCTGGGCCGAGAGCTTCCTGCCTGCAAGGTAGGCCCAGGCCCTGTGACCGAGGCTGGAGGCAGGGGAGGCCGGACGGGCTGTCGGCAAACCGGAGGGAGGTGCCCGGGCCCCAGCAGCTTGGCGTGTGGATGTGAGCCCAGCAGGTGGCCAAGCCGAGCACCCAGCTGGCCCGGCTGGTCTCTGGGGGCCAGTGGGAGCCGGGCTGCTTCGCCCCCCTGGCACTCGCGGCTACAGGCCTAGGCAAGCCGGGCAACTGGGCTCCCTCAGTTTCCCAGATGTCTTTGGTCCCTGGAAAGCGGGCTCTCCACAAGCCCGTGGCGCCAGAGATGGGTATGGCCGCCCCAGGCCGTAGTCAGGTGGCTAGCGTCTGTGCCCAGGTGGCTGTACCCCGGGAAGGAGCGGGGTCCCTGTGCACGGAGGGCGCCCAGGGCCACCGGGACTCAGGGAAAGTGGGCAGGATGGCCAGACGCCGACTCCTGTGGAAGGGACAGGGGCCAGTGCCGGCGGCTGCGGGTGTTCCCGCCGGGAGGGGCCCTCCCTCCGCCGGGCCCTGGGCTGCGTCCAGCCTCCGGGCACCTTTGCCCTCTCCCCACCCCACGCCCTCCCCGCCTCTGCAGATGACTAATGCCGTGGGGCTCCCGGGGACGGCCGGCGCCCCGCTGGTGTCGGCGGCCTGGCCG